GAAAAAATGTATTTTATAACATGTACGATTTGCTAAAAAATCTACAAGAAACATGCTGACTTGACAAAACTATGTTTCAGAAAAATGTAACAGAACAAAAAGAGCCTAAACATCTTTTATGCAATATAATGAAATTTTATTAAAGTTTTCTAAAATGTGTGTCTTAACAGAGAAAAGACGGAATCACAAGATCACCAAAAATGTTTTAAGCAACAATTTTACTTTAAAAAAAGTTAGTGTAGTGGAGCTGAAAGTGGTTTTCCCCTCCCATCTTGTTCTCCCTCAGGGGCTGCACTGCTAAGTGGAAGATTAATGCTGATACGGTGTCCTGCCATCCCACTTAATGGACCCTGGCGTGATTATGTCCTGTTGTATGAGTAATCCATGCTCGGGCTTTGGTGAAAGAACTCCAAGCAGGCAAACAAAGCTCGCTTCAGCGTGGCCCAAGCTGAATCTTATTATAATGAATTCACATTGCTGAGAAATTATCATCTGGAGATCTGCTGACACGACCCCGCTGCTTCGCTTGAAGGAAAACAGGCTGCTGAAGTCAAACGCAGAAAGGAACGTTTGTTCAGAAGAGGGAGGAAAAAAAAAGAAAAATGTGTGGTTGGTGCGTGAGCGGCACGGTGGGCAGCAGTCACATGAATCCAATTTTTTTTTAAATTCATAACATCCTGTTGTCACATGGCCCTTGGACACAGTGGCTCAGCAGAAACAAACACATTTTTGCCGGAATATTTCTTCCGAATGTTTTCACTGTACATTTGAAACCAGGTAAAACCTCGTGCTTCAGCTCCTGTGTGTCCTCATTTCCTTTCAGAGTTCCTGGGGAATGTCCTCAATCAGACCTGCCTCTGACCCCTGGACCACTGAGAACCACTTTCCCTCTGCAGACACACAAAGGATGCAGTCAGAGTTGGGTTAAGTGCCACGGATTAATGAGGGATTATCCACCTACCCACAAACCACCTCCACCCCTCCCGGTTCATCGCCACAGTTCCATGTTCAGATGATGATGTCACTTTCTCACCAATACTCCAACGCTGACCACACTCACCTGCTTCAAGGTGAGAAAGATACAAGGAGGCTCGAGTGCACCGCACGGATATGAGTATTTACATGTTTTTTTTTTTTCTGAAAACAGAGCAGATCTCCTTAGTTCGTCTTCTTCTAAACGTGACTAATGCTATATACTTACAGAAATTGTTATATGCTAAATAAAATGCTCCATGATTATGATCATTGGTAAAAATATGATTATTATTAAATTATAATAGATCAACAACAATGATCCATTAAATCACATGTCTAACTCAAGGTCCAGGGGCCAATTGTGGTCTGCCAATGCATTTTATGTGGCCCACATGAGCTTCAAATATGTGTTAATGTCTCAAAATAAGCAGCATTGACCATAAAGTATATCTCCCATAATGCAGGTTGATTATTTTACCTGCAAAATGACGGTGGCCAACCACCATGGAGGTACACAAAAGTAGCCAGTGAAAATGCAACAAAATGGAGAGTAGCCATCAGAATCTCCTTCAGCTCCATTTTTGTGTTTTTGCCAGTTACTTTTGCTGTGATCCAGTTGTACTGGAAAGTGGGAATTTCCCAACAGTTTCTCATTTAAAGTGGAGTTATTATGCAACATCGACATTTTTTGAGCTTTATATCATTCTGTAATGTCATTCCCTCATCAAAACTATACTCATGAATGTTGCTTTGACTCATTCATGCATATTTGAGAAATGCTTGAATCTCCTGTGGCCATGTGGAGTGACCTAAATGCTTGCTGGTACAAAGCACCGCCTATTTACTCAAAGCTCCTCCCCTGGATCTCAGTCTGAAGCTGAGCTCCCATCCCACAGAGCGCCCCTCCCCTGAAGCATTGTTGTGATGACATGCTGAAGTGGGAGTGTCTCTTAAAGAGACAAATGCCAATTGCAAGATGTTTAGATGATGCGAAAACAATTTATTTTTGATGTATACTTCATTTTTATAACAACTGAAGGTAACATTGTTACTTGATTGTGGTATAGAATTGAATTATGTGCCTGAAAAGTATATAATACCCCCATTTGAAAAAAATGGGACAGGAAGATTTTAACCACTTTCTTGCATCAGCTCCGTTCTTAAAAAGTCATTTTCCTCATGGATCGTCTCATTCACACGTCAAGAATATGAAGTAATTTACTGAACAAAATTGATTGTTTTAAACCAAACACACATTAATTTATTTTACACTTCTTTGCAATCAAAAAAAGACCTGCCTGATGATATCTTCATGTTGAAATCCCCAGTGACCGAGTATCCAGACATGAAACATCAACAAATGAAAATCCAAAATCTTTACAGGGCAGAAACAGAACACAGGCACATGGCAATGATGGACTCCAAATTTAAACACAAAACAAAAAGAGAAAATAACTTTTTAAACTAAGATTATCTTATTTAGAGAAATTATGCCAAATCTTGAAAATAATGAGTGATTGCACATGATATTATGTGATCTCGTGACATTTGTTTATACAGTAAATGTTGAGAACGACTCTCAGCTACACATCTTGAAGGGCCAATATTATGTGTTTCTCAGGCATACATTTAAATAACATACCATAATAAAATATCTATGTCACCTTTAGCTGTTATTAAAATGCTGTTTTTATGTTTAAATTAAAAATAAACTTATCTTCTCATCACTTCCTCTTCTAAACACCTTGAAATTGGCCGCTGTCTCTTTAAGAACCACCTTCCGCTTCTGTCTCGCCCATTTCGGTGCGGGGGGGGGGGGGTGGGGGGGCGGTGCGCTCCGTGATGAGGAAGTTTGGCTTAAAGACACGTCCCAGGGGCATTTCTGGTCCCCACCTGTCGTTTTGCTCCTCAACATGGCTTCCTAAAAACGCTGCAGGATTTCTCAGACATGCATGAATGAGTCAAAGCAAGGCTTTGGGCATGGTTTTTATGAGAGTATAACATTATAACATGATATAAAACTCAAAAAAATTGATTTTACATGATATTGCCCCTTTAAAACATTTATAAAAGTTCCCAAATTATTGAGATTTTTGTTTTGACAAAGACCACTCTTTAAATTGCTTGACTCCATAAGTTAATCAGTTAAATGTTTGTTATTTCCTAAGAGTTTTATTAAAATGTATCCAGTGGCTCAGGAGACATTAAATAAAACACAGGTGTGTACAGAATCACCCGCCTTCGTGTGTCAGCCAGTGACACTGACGACCTGTGATCCCTCACAGTAAGCTGTGCTTGTTTTTGCACCATGTGACCCATATTGAATCTGATCTATGACATACGACCGTCATCTTCTTTTCTTCACCTGCTAATTCTCAGCAATCTGTGGCCTCAGGCCAGGTGGAGACAACATCCACCCTGTTTTTATTTATTTATCTTTGGTTCCTATGTGCCAGAAAATTGATTTACCAGTCGTTTTCATTAGGAGGGTGCAGCGAGGGTAAGAAAAAGTGAGAACGTCGCGTGTGGCGGCAGAGCAAGGCAGCAACCTCGGAGATGGTGAGCCTCGGTGGTTGCGCTGGGCAACGGTCAGATAATGGATGACGAGGCCTCCTGGAGCCAGACGTTCCATTAGATTTTGTTAATGCAGTCAGAGGAGGCTGGCGTGGCTCATCCGCCTTCATATCCACTTTCAGAGACGCTCACTCACTCAGACCACTGGATCCAGCCCATCTCCCTCCTCATTAGGGTTTCCTTTCACTTTTACAGTGCAACACTGTGGTTTTTTTTTTTATCATCCTCTTTAGCTTTATGTTTTTATTTATCTCTCGCTTTTTTCCGCATCAAACTTGGAATAATTCTGCAAACATTACTGTGGCTTTCTTACATCGCTGATCGTTGCGCAAGAGTCAAGTACACGCTGTCTCTGAATTACTACGACGAGGTGAATCACGTTTTGTAATCAAGCATTCTTGGAAGCATGTCTTTTTTTAACTTATGATTATTGTTGTAAAAGTGCAACACGTTAGCTTAGCCTGTGTGGCAAAGTGGAAACTCCGGTGTTGTGAAAGAGGAGCACGTGTCACAGAGTCCACGGAGAGCTTTGGTCCTCCGTGAGCTTTATGTTTAGTGAGTGTGAATGAGTGAAAGTCATGAATGGAGACACACAGTGGGGTCGAGCTGTTTGTAGCAATCAGCTTGTATGATGAAACCCAGTAAATGTTTCATGTATCTGTACTTTACTTAGTTTTAATCATGGATACTTTCGACTTTTACTTCACTACATTTTACATGAAGTATCTTTACTTTCTACTCCACTACATTTCTGTAATGTGTTGAAGTACAAGTTACATTCACGTCACATTATGATTTTTTTTGATTTGTTTGTTTAGTTTGAAAGTAATCTGTAATAGGAGGGGAATTAATTGGTCCACTGAACCACTGCAAAGCAGTAAAATACCATTAGACCCTCTTTCAAGGAGAGCGGGGTGATTCTGCATCACCTGCTGGAGCATCAGTAGCAACACCCCCAATTCTACCATGGAGAGTCGGCCAGAGGAAATGAGCCACTCATGGCCTTATTTAAAAAACTTATTCAAGATAACCGGTTCAAAAAATGAGGTTTGATAGAGGATAGTTTCTGTAGTTGTTGTCACAATGTCGATGATGCACAGAAGTGTGAGCGGTGTCACAGAGGGTAAACACAAAAACATGCATTATCTGCAGCATTGTTTGCTAAAATGACACATCATTGATGTATAAAAATACACATACTGTAGGCACACGTCATATTGTAGATCTTTAGGAAATACATTAAGCAAGTACTTTTACTTTAATACTTTAAGTACTTTTAAAAGCAAGTACTTACTTACTTTTACTCAAGTAAAATGTTCATGTGAATGAATGATTTATTTATTCGGGACAGTGTGCAATTAAAACATAATTTGATGCATTGCACCAGATTTAGCCTAAGGCTAATTTAATGTAATGTGTAATGTGGTACTTTTCCTAGAGTACATATTTGTCTGTTTATCTGTACTTTTACTTAAGTACAGTATTTGAGTACTTTCTCCACCATTGAACCTAAACACTGTGATGGGAAATGTGGTGAAACGTTTGCTAAGTGTGTCGCTGATTTCAGCCCGGTTTCAGTTTTAGATCTTCTCTGCTTGCAGTCTTTAGTTTACTAAAAAAAAAAAGAGAGTCAGATGGTGCTGGCTCATTGCATTGAGCTTCATCTTTATGATCATTAAAAACAAGCTTGTATATTAGTCATTGATTTCCTTTCATCCTTTCATTGTCTATTTGTGCTTTTTAATCACAGCGGCAGTGGTGGGCATTGTTCCTCTATAAGCTAATAGTGGAAATAAGTTTTGGTTTAGCTGATTAGCTTCCTTAGCTTAGATTTTTCCACGAGTTAGCTTCCACTAAATTAGATTTTGCCAACTATAAGTCCACTAACAGTTAACTAATAAATGAACATCAACAGGTTTGTGTCAGTCTCATGGTCTTCAGCGTGAAGGACATGAAGATGTGACATTTTACAAGTAGCTGATCTGAGCTACATACAGTGATTTGTGTTTTTTGATCTCTAAACATATTTTTGCTCCTATCTGGATGACAGACACAATTCATTGTCAGTACATTAGGTAAAATATGAAATAATTTAAATTTTGATTTTATAATTTTAATTCTCGTATCAATAACATTTACTGAAAAACATTTTAATTATCCAAAATTCCCTTTATTTGTTCTGTTTTTCTAAACTTTGCAAGGACAAAAAGGTGAATTATGCTCGGTTGTGTTTTCTTGGCCTACTTGGTTAAAATTTATTTCCAAAATTTTTCTCCATCCCTCCAAACGGGGCTGTTTACATTCTCAGTCAGCTGCCTGACTTTACCCGTCCCCCCTCCCCGTTCCATCGAGTCCTCGTGTTTTTTTTTATGCCAACCAGAAAGACCCTGGTTCCTCCTGGGTCGAGTCCAACGGGCTCTCCGCAGCTCTAAATCCTTGTCATAGTTTCCTCGACTGAGCTGATGCGTCACAATGGATGCCTGTGCACGCCGAGCTCGCCATGACCTTCTC